GTGCGCTAGTTCTGCCTGTAAAGCATTACCAAGGCAATGCGAAGACCTCTGTCGTGATATTTACAACTATTTTAAGTCGAGCTGCAAACGAGTGTCACAATTTCGAGAGTTTCAAGAGTTTTGTGAATTTGAACCACACAGAATACTTAAACCATCACAAACACGGTGGTTGTCATTGGCAGCGGTAGTCAATAGGATACTGGAGCAATGGCAAGCGTTGAAACTTTTTTTTACTTCTCATTGGGTAAATGATAGATTAAAGGCAGCTGAACATATTTATAAATCTTTGCATGATCCATCTATGTTAATATACTATACATTTTTAAATTATTTTCTTCCAAAATTCACAATACTAAATAAGATTTTTCAAAGTGATAAACCTGTTTTAGATACACTTCATGGTAGAATATCAGAGTTATACAAAGAATTACTTTATTCATATTATAGACAAGTGATTAATCCCTTTGATGTAGATCCCAACAATACTTCTTTTTTCAAGCCATTGAAAGACATTTATTTGGGCGCTGGTGTGTATATTTTATTACAGAAACCAGAGATGTCTAATAATAATGATATGGTTTTGGACACATTGAATCGCTGTAGGTCATTTATAATAACCGCATGTGTTGAGATAAAAAAAAGGTATAATTTTAATGATTTAATTTTAAAATCCTTACCACAGATTTCACCAAAAAATGTATTGGGCAATGTACATGCAAATTCTTTATTGCCCTTCATTTCATTATTTCCCAGAATTGTAAATGAAACCAATCAGATACAACTCATTGATGATGAATGGAGGAAACTTATAAGTTACACATTTGAATCAAATATATTAGACATTATTAAAACTAAAAATGTGGATAATTTTTGGATTTACTTGAAATCATATGAACAGCTATTTATTAATTTATCTGAGTTTATTTTAACAATATTATCTTTACCACAATCAAATTGTGCCTGTGAGCGTTTATTTTCTAAAGTTAATTTGATTAAAACAAAACTGCGCAATAAATTAATGACTGATACATTAAATGGTCTTATTAATTCTAGTGAGTGTATAAAACCATATTCGTGTTATAAGTTTAAACCATCCAAAGAAATGCTTAACTCTATGACATCAAATATGTATGATTTTATAAATAATACTGTTGATGATGATGACATAACTTTTGAGACTGAATAGTACAATAAATCAAAACTGTGAAAGAACCTAACTATTTTAATTTTTTTTTATTTGTTATTTTGTTCATTAAGTTGTATTTAATAATATATTATAAAGGTATATGATAAAGTTATTTGAATTTGATTGTTATTTGTTAACAATAATTATCATACTTATGTATAATTATTTTTTATTTGTTATTTTGTTCATTAAGTTGTACTTAATAATATATTATAAAGGTATATAATAAAAGTATTTGATTTTGAAGATATTATACATAACATTTTTTATTATTTAGCGTATTATTTTCTTCCTTCAAAATCTTGTATGATTGTATGATCCAAACGAGAACCGAGCGTAGCGAGGTTCGAGTAATTTTTTTTTTGTTATGGTACGATAATCTTATTAGAAATACGATAATTCTGACCCAGGTTTACGATAAACCCACTTTTAAAATTTGGCAACACTGGGAATACGCAAGCTTAGTCGGCGGTCAACAGGTAAAGTCGCCAACACCGATAGCGGTACGAGTTTAACGACGGCTTGCGTAAACAATTGTAATATTCAAATCTATTTTAATTTTCTTTCATAGATTTTGTGACAATTTTCAGATTTTAAAATATTTTATTCTAACATTCTTAATTCTTAATATCTAGTATATTAAATAATATAGGTATTAAAATTTTAATATCTTAAGTTTATTTATATACCTATATAATATAATTATAAAACATAAATAATGAAGAGCATTATCATTTTAAAAAAAATTATAAAAGAAAAATAATCAAACTTTCTATTTTTCAGTAGATCAAAAGTAGATGAAAATGTTTACTGTGGTGCATTTTATTAATGAAAATGCAGTTGAAGCTGTTCCCAGCCATTGGGTAAAAAAAGATGTTTGTGGTTGGCCAAAAAACAATATAAAAAAACATATACAATCTAGAACAATCCTAAATAAGCATGGTTTTGATTATTTTCCTTCGAGAACGTTAAAAAAAGGCATTGGTAATTTCAAGTTATTTACCTATTTAATGGATATTATATTTTTTTTGAGGGTGGTTTTTAATTGATTTTTATATTTTACTATAGCCAGTTATCTTGAAGCTAAATTAAAAGTTAAAAAAGCTGAGGTAACAGATGATCTTTCAACTAGTGATGAAATTCAGAACAGGATTAGAAGAAAAAAAGTATTGGTTCAAGATCCACCTATTTTTAATGAATTGTTAAACGAAGGTAAATTTTAAAACTATAACATTTTAAGGTTACTAAATTAACTATTAATAATAAACTTTTATCCATAGGTAATTTATCAAAATCTGCTAATGGCAATGAAACATTAAACAATTGTCAAATGATAAGTTCACAAATTCCAGTTAAAAGGAGATTATTTGATACAACTTCTTCTAGTCAGGGTATTGTTCTAAAAATAATAATGATTATATTTTAATAAAAACTCAAATATAATTTTTACATACAAATTATGATAGTGTAAATACTAATTATGTTATAGTAATACTATATATTAACAAGTTGACTGCCACGAGTTTTTTTGTGAACTTTCCTCTATTGCCATGAGCATCATATTAGGGCCACACGTTGACTTTCCACCATTGCCATGAGAGACACATATTGATGCTCAACATTTTTAAATGTTGAAATTGAGTACACATATTATACCTCAGTTTTGTTAATTTTTTTGAATAGAGAATCAAAATCTAAATATATAACTACTTGTAGCATTGGGACTTATGACCGGTATTATTTCATACATTTAAATTAAAATAAAGCAAATTTCCATTATTGTATAATTTTTCAACACTTTATTAATATGTTAACACTGTTTTTAATGTATAATGACACAACATATGACATTAAATTATATAATATTAATATACTTTTATAACTTGTGTTAGTTTTACATACTTAAAACAATTTCTTATACAATTTTTTGAACAAACTATAACATTATAAATATATAAACAATATAAATGTATAAACAGTATAAATATAATAACTTAAGTTTTGGTTATTTTTCTTATAAGTCTTTTTGTTACATATATTCAAATCACAATACCTTATTATTACTATATATTATATTATATAAAGATACTAATAGGAATAACAACTTTTTTGTAATCAAAGAATAAAATGATAATGACTAAAATATAAAATAATTAATAGTTGTACGGGCCGGGAACATAAGATGATAATATGTGCGCCCGGACACCAACTTATTGCAAGCCACTAACACCTAAATCTTAATAATATGTGACACTAGAATAGCTGGGTGTGTAGTGATGTAAATAGCTCGAACAGCAGTGGTCGGGGTTGCCGGGCAAATACTGTTGAGCTATGTAATGCTTGTTATGTAAAATGTATAAAATGTATAAGTGTGTATATTGAGTGTGTGTAAGACTTAAAACTATGGAACATGGGTAACTCAACCAATGGTAACGCAGATTGCAATTATGGTAAAATATATAATATAATAATAAAAAAAATGGCCCTTTTGGCCCAACAAGTAAAAATGTATAAAAATATAATATAAGTTGCCGGTTCGGCACAACCAATAAAAGATATAATAATATTATACGGCCAAGTATAATACAATAATGTATAAATGTATAATAAATAATAATTTAGAAAAAACTCACAAATTGTCGGTGCTCGGCTGGCCAGCTGCTACCTATACAGCTATATAATAATTTCACACACAATAAAATATAATAATAAAAATGTGGCGATTAGCGCCAATAAAATATTACAAATACGGCGATTAGCGCCAATAAAATATAATAATAAAAATGTGGCGATTAGCGCCAATAAAATATAATAATAAAAATGTGGCGATTAGCGCCAATAAAATATAATAAATAATAATATTACAAATGTGGCGATTAGCGCACACAAATATAAAAACAAAGGGCGATTCGCGCCCAGCACCAATGAATATAACAAAAAGGCGATTCGCGCCCTACACTAAATATATAAAAACGTGTGAGATTTTCAACTCATTCGACGCACGCCGGTGCCCTTATAACGTACGGTACTGGTATCTTATGTCGACTGATCGGACTTACGGCGGCCGTGCTAAACCTTTGCGTTCCAGCCGGCCTACGTCGGACGATAAGGCGTAATTGCATAATATTATATGTTATATAACTCACACGACAATAATAATTAAACAAAAATAAATAAACAAATAATGTGTGCGTGTGTGTGTGTGACCAGCTATTCCATTATACATTATCAACGTATACATGTATATATATTATTAAATTGTACGTATTATAATTTATAATAGTACGTGCCTTTTGGGCTCAAACAATAGTCATTTTTTTTCTTTTGTACCTTTTTTATATTTACACATATTATTATGTAAATAAATAAATGATTTCTTTATAATTCATAGTAAATAAAAAATATAAACAACAAAACAAAAACTAAATATAAACATTGTTTTAATTTATTTATTCTTTTTTTTTAAATATTTATGATCAGCAAAAAAACACTTAACACAATAAAATCTATCACAGGCTGGACACATTGTTCTCACTTTTTTTGTTTTACTTTGAGCATAAGCTCTACCTTCCTCTAAGACTAGTTTTTGGTAACATATTGCACATCTATTACGTGTAGTTTTTTCAACTATTGAATGCATTTCTAAATTATCATTTTCAGTATCTACTGGTTTGTCTATCATAGATAAAATAATAGATTCTCTAAATTCAGTCACACTCATATTACAATTATTTACTTTATTATATAATATAAGAGCATTTATAACACTAGTATTCAATAAAACTTCAAACGCTACCTTTCTGTACCATTTCATTTATCGCCTAAGAGGAGTGTGATAAGAAGATCTTAAATCACTCACATCAACTAGACCTTTTCCTCGATTATAGTCCAAAACTACTTCTGGCTTTCCAATTTCAGTTCCTATTTTAGTTTGTATTTGCCTAATATTGTCCTCATGTTTAGTGGATAACATAAGAACATCCCTTTTATCTTTCCATTTCAAAATTAATATTCCTGTATTACTTTTTTGAGCCACAATTTCCCCTTTTTTAAGTTTGTGTTTTACAACATCTTGTGGATTATGCTTTCTATTTGCTCTTAATGTACCAACTAAATTAGTAGATCTTGATAAAAGTTTGTGAGCTAAATTAATGCTGGTGTACCAATTATCAGTATAAAGGGTACGGCCAAAATCTAAATATTCTTCTGACATTTCCATCACTATTTTAGTTGATACTTCAACTCCAGGCTCTGCTTCTCTGCCAGTATAAACTCTAAATCCTATGGTGTATGCATCTTGTATACACAGTTTAAAAATTTTAATACCATATCTGTGGTGCTTGTTTTTTATATATTGTCTAAAGGATAAACGTCCAACAAATGGTATTATTGACTCATCTATGCACATGTGTTCCTCAGGTATCATAGCACATTTATATTTATCAATTAAAGAATCAATTAGATCTCTCACTTTAAAAAGTCTGTCACCTTTAGGACACTCAACATTATTTGAGCAATGAAATGTTCTTAATAGTAGCTCAAATCTATTCCTACACATGTATTCAGGAATACTGGATTGATACATTTTTTTTTTTGACCAATAACTTGCAATAGAAGGAAATGTGGTTAAACCCATCCACATGCAAATACCAAGGAAAGTCAGCATCTCTTTTTTTGTAACATTTTCCCAACGAGTTAAACGAGATTTTGACTTATGAGGAGTACTAATTAATTGAGAAGCATACCTGTTTGTTTCTAAAACCAGCATATCAATTATAGTATCATCAACAAATAAAGAATAAAAAACATAAGGACTGCCATTAGTTAAACATTCAATAAGGTCAGGATTTATACCAACAACTTGACCTGTTGGATTATATACTAAATTATTACTTCGCATAATACTACACCATATTATATTGTTGCCATAATCGTGAACCGTAGATGTAACTCTTATATTTGATCCTTGAAAAACTGGTGTTTGTATTGTTGGTGTTGATGAAGCAGGAGGTTGAGGTGTTTCTTCGTTTGAATCTAATAAGTTGAAATTTGATTCAAAATCACTACCAGAGTTGTTGACTGAGTGTGTAGAATCATCCTAATTATCAACACAAGAACTTATAACGATAGCAACAAACACATCTTTATAAAGTATAAACATTTTAAATAAAAAAAATTGTTTATAAAAATTACTTACCAAATCGATTCGAAAATCAGGATCATCATCAGTGTCATCAAAAACCGAAAAACCATCGTCAGAACCAAAATTATCATCATCTGAGTAGTCGAGAACTTCATTTATTTCATCAGGGTTCATAATTCAAGAGTATTATTCGATATAAATTTACAAACAAATATTATAATATCATGACTACACCGCAATAAACTTCATTGAAACTATTTGAAACACGAAAAAAAATATGTGTTCATAATATTATCACAGAATAATCTATTATATTATTTAAGTTCGGTAGAGTTCTATTATTAAATTCGATATTTTCCATGATAAGAGTAAGCCCATATCTTGATGCTCATTAAAAAAATATTATAAATTCGGCACTATGGGCCATGAGCATCATATTTGGATCTCACTTTAAATCCACAAACTGTTATCATAGTTAGATTCTACTATCAATTGTATGCCAGAAAGTACAAATATATTGTGGTGATTACGACGTGTTATCACCACTTACGCTAGCGCGCCGTAATTATTTTGTCGTTACCATTTTGTTATTTCGTTCCTACCTTTGTATTGTTGTTGTTTTGGGTAAACGATTTATACTTGTATTATTTTTGTGTTCCTTGTATTATTCACTGTGTGAATTATTGTAAACCTTTTATTTGTATTATCTTTGGTCGTCCCGCTACAATTTTGTCTCCCGCCTCGAGAACCTACTTTTTCGCCGTTACGGGCTCGAAGCCGCTCACGTTTTGCCGTACGATCTCACTCACTTTTACGCTCTCGAATCGACTCGAGCAGCCCAACGTCTCGGCTCTTACGACCGACGACCCGAGCGAAACGACCATTTTTAGTTTAACCTGTCTTAGTTTTTCAATAAAATATTTAATCGACCACCGAACGTTTTGCGCATTTTCCTCATATAAAAAAACCTTCTGATCCAGGAGTAAACGTAGTGTTCTGCCGGCGCCCGTGTCACGTTACGACCACCGTCGCTTTTGGCAGCACCGGTAGACACCACATTGGTGACCTCGAACGGTTTTGCTTTTGAAAACCCGACCGCCGTCAACGACGCGAAAGTCCGACCGCCCGCGAGTTCGTCGACTTATAACGAGTCAGCCGCGTGCACCGAATTCCGACCCGACTCGCGTAGGAAAATTACGTTCTCCATCCCATCCGCTTTTGTCCGCGGAATCACTGAACATGCTGTCCGATACACCTGTAACGACCATGCCCCTCACCGTCGTCGCCCCGACAAACGTCACCGCTTCCGTTAAGGACACGACAGCTTCGACAACGCTTACGACGAGCGCAAGCCCCGAGATCTCGTCTGTCACCCACGTCAAGCTTCCGGGTTTCTGGCGCAACTCACCGACCCAATGGTTCACGCACGCGGACGCCATGTTCGCAAACAAGCGAATCCGTTCTGATTTGACGCGCGTGAACCACGTGCTTGAGGCTTTGGACGAGGAAGGCGTGCGAACAATCACTGACTTGCTGGGACCCGACACAACCTATGAAGCAGTTCGGCAACGGCTCGTTACAGCTTATAGCGTCCCGCAAGCCACGCGTTTCCAGCGCATGATTCAGCCAGGTGGCATGGGCGACCGTACACCATCACGCCTGTTACGGGACATGCGGGATGTCTATCCCGACGGAATGTCGGACAGTTCGTTGGTGGCATTTTGGTTGAGCAAGCTCCCACCACCCGTCCGCACCGTCATCGCCGGTCTCAGCGGCTCCGGAGAGTTTCTGGCCGAACGCGCCGACCGCGTGTGGGAAGCGTGCCAAGGCACAGAAGTTTCAGCCGTCGCCAGAGACGCCGACAACCACGAGTTGAGCACGACCACTCGTCGAACCACGCCGGCGAGCCCGTCCGATTACGACGCGCGTTTCCTCGCACTCGAAAACGCCGTTCACGCGCTCACGGCCCAGATCGCGTCCCTCGCGACGTCGCAAGCTGCCGCGTTTTCGCGCACGACCAACGACCGCACCACGCGCCAGCAACGTGCCCGCTCCGTTTCGCTGACAAAACCGCAGGCGAACCCCATCACGGCAGGCTGGTGCTTCTACCACGACAGATACGGCGTAGACGCGCGGAAATGTCGCGATCCGTGCACTTACCCGCCCATGACACGGAAAAATCCGTGAGGCGGCGGCGTTGCACCAACACCTCGCCGCACGACCGCAGCACCGACTCTTCGTCGTCGACACCCGTACCGGACGTCGATTCTTAATTGACTCCGGCGCGGAAATTTCGGTGTTGCCTTGACCCACAAATTTCTGGCCTAACATCGGCCAAAGTACGAGCTCCGATATAAGACTCGTAGCCGCAAACGGCTCACAAATCAAAACCTACGGGCCAAAACAACTGCACCTCGACCTCGGGTTTAAACGACTATTTTCCTGGACTTTCGAAATGGCAGACGTCTCCAGAGCGATTATTGGAGCAGACTTCCTTCACTACTTCGGTTTACTCATCGACATACGTCACAACCGCCTCGTCGACCTCGCGGTAAATAGTTCAGTGAAAATCACGCCCGCTACAGTTTCGCCCCTTACCGCGATTTGTGCCGTCACCCGACCGTCGAAATGGACCGACATACTTCTCGACTACCCCGAAGTCACACGCGAATCGCCCGTCCCGAACGAATTTTTGCATAACGTAGTACACGAGCTGCATACCACCGGACCAGCACTGTTCGCTCGACCACGCAGACTTCCACCCGACCGTCTACGAATTGCACGCAAGGAATTCGACTTTATGCTGCAGAAAGGCATCTGCAGACCGTCATCAAGTGCTTGGGCCAGCCCACTTTTACTGGTGCCCAAAAAAGATAGTACGTTTCGACCGTGTGGTGACTACCGTCGACTCAACGCAGTCACAGTCGCCGACCGATACCCGTTGCCACACTTACACGATTTCACGGCAAACCTCGCCGGAAAGACCGTCTTCACCAAACTCGATCTGGTACGTGCATATCACCAAGTTCCGATCGCACCGAACGACGTGCATAAAACCGCGGTCACAA